CGCGTAAAATACGAACGGGACCGTCGACCGCCCGCACAGTGCCCGGCATGCGGATCACCGGCGCCTGGTATTACACGGTCGTATACTCGGCCCAGCCGGTGGCGCGCGGATCGAGATGTCGACGTGGTCTCACTACTACGCCAGGCGGCGGAACCTGCCTGAGTGCATCACGGTGAGCGTAGACCGGCGGCTGGGCGGCGGATGAAGTATTTGTCTTTTTTCCTACTTCTCTGGCACGCGCTGGCTGGTTAGCGCTCGCCGAGATGCAGGACCGTGGTTTTTGCGACAGTCGACTGCCGGCGAGTGCCGTCCCTTTCTTAATCATCCGCGGAATACCTGCCGCGGAGGCCCGCGGATTACACAACCCCAAAGAGGAGGAATTGCGCTCCTTGTGGGACCGCATTCATCCGGACCGGGAGTTTAGTCACGAGCAGGGCCCACGGATGGGCTGAGCTGCGCCACGCCGAACCTGTACACAGTGCTGCGTGCTCCCTGTGAGCCGGCGGTGCAAGTCGATGCTGCCTGCACCTTCGTGCGTGGAGAATCATCTTGTTTCGACGGAGCGGCGGTTCGGATGATCGCTCTGGAGACATTTGTGGTCCTTCGAAGCCGTCATCAAGGTCGATCAGCAGCGATTGGTCGCGTATCCCTCACTGACAGCTCTGCATCGTGTGACTCACAGAAATGTTGTGTGAGGTGTAGGATCTGTCCGCCAAGTCGGATGACGGCGCCACTGCCGGCGAGATTTTTGAAACCTCGGGACGCGAAAGCCGAACGCCTGACGAGGGCGTCCGACATCGCACGCATTGTTATCAACCGTACGCTGATTTAGGTCGCTACGGCGTGCGACGGCGATTGCGTGGCGGAATCGAACCGGTGGATCTGTTTGCGGATAAATCCGGTGACGACGCGGTACACCTGACACAGTGGTTCGGCAGATCGCTTCTCAACATTGGCGGGACACTGCTGGCATAGGGCGATGCGATCTGGGAAGAGTTTCGCTGAACGAGCGTTTGGCGTCAGGTTATTAGCCGGCCGATTACTCTGTCTCTGTGGCACGCACCGACGGCCATCTCTACCGAGCTTCTCATTTCCGGTCCGCGTTCGTAACGACTGGGTCACGACGCGAGTCTCCAGCGCGAGTTGGGTGAGGTATGAAGAATCGCTTCTTGGCGGAAGAAAGCATAGTGGAAGCCGGGCAGCTGATTTACGCAGAACGCGTCAGCCAGGGACCGAAGCAATCGTGGAGGTTGACTCCGGTACGGGCCGCCGGCGTGCGCGCATTTTACACAGTACAAGTTAAAAAAGTAAAGTAAAAGTAAATTAAAAGTAAAAAAAAAAATAAAAGTGCGGTCGTTACAGAAGTGAATCACGGCAACGCAACATGCACAAAACCGCGTGAATTGAACCTCGCGCGGGATGACATGCCCTGAACGAACGGTCGGGTCTCTGAACTGAACGACTGCATCGACGCCCAACACGGTTTGCGCAGTTGTCCGTCACCGCACACCGAGATACATGAGCCGAGACACACATCGACCACCTGGTACCGCGCCGAGTGCGTGTGGCCGGGGAGTTGATGCGGGACCAGGTGCGTATCGGGTTGCTGCGGATGCACCGCATGTTCCAGGATCGCGTGGGTCGCTTGGAAAAACCAGAGGATGCCGTGCCGGCGAAGCTGGTGAATGTGCGTCCGGTCACGGGGGCGATTCGGGAATTCTTCGGCGGCGACAAATTGTCGCAATTCATGGACCAGACGAATCCGCTGGCGGAGTTGACTCACAAGCGCAGGTTGTCGGCCCTGGGTCGAGGCGGACTGACCCGGGAGCGGGCCGGATTCGACGTGCGGGACGTTCACGCCTCGCACTATGGCCGAATTTGTCCGATCGAGACGCCGGAGGGCGCGAACATCGGACTGCTGAGCAGTCTGGCGGCGTACGCCCGCATTGACCGGTTGGGCTTTATCGAAACGCCCTACTGGCCAGTGGTGAAGAAGGTGTGGCTGGGAGATTGCCGCGACCCGGGGATTCCGGGTTATTTCGATCTGGGTTGTGGCGCTGCGAGTAACGGCCGATATTAAAACCCGAAAGGGGGAGTGAAGTCTGTGCGCGGCGAAATCATCACCGAGAAGCATTTGCGGCGATTGCGTCGTCTGTCCGCAGATACGGTTATTGAGGTTACCCCGTTTGTGGATAACCCGCCAACGCGAGACAGTCGTCAGTACCTGACGGCTGATACGGAAGAGCAGTTTCGGATTGCACTAGGCCATGCAGTCCCTTATGACGAGGTGAACTCATTTACCGAGAACAGGTGGAGTGCGGTTGAGGGAGGACAACTAGCCCGGTTTGGCTTCGTACACACACACATGGGTGCATGCGGAGGACGCAGCACGCGTAGACTTACTCTCTCCGTTGCAGATCATGAGCGTGTCGGCGGCGCTGATTCCGTTCCTGGAGCACGACGACGCCAACCGAGCGCTGATGGGCTGTAACATGCAGCGACAGGCCGTGCCGTTGCTGCAACCACAAGCTCCCATAGTGGGAACTGGCATCTCGAGGGCCGGGTTGCGCGAGACAGCGGGCAAGTGCTGTTGTCACGGGCGCGGGGCTCAGTTACATCGGTTAACGGCAACGAGATCGTGGTAACTGACACCGCCGGTGTTGAACATCGGCACCGCCTGGTGAAATTCGCACGGACCAATCAGGGAACGTGTTTGAACCAGCGGCCGCTGGTTCAAAAAGGCGACTACGTAAACGCGGGCGACACGCTGGCGGACAGCTCATCAACAGATGGTGGCGAGCTGGCGCTGGGCCAAAACGTGCTGGTGGCGTTCATGTCCCTGGGAGGCTACACTACGAGTACGCCATCATATCAGTAAGCGAAAAAGAAAACGCTGTGAAGGACGATCAGTTCACTTCGGTGCACATCGAAAAGTACGAAGTGGAAAGCCGCTCCACCAAGTTGGGCGACGAAGAAATCACCAGGGATATCCCCAACGTAGGCGAAAGCAACCTGCGTGACCTTGACGAGCGGGGTGTGATTCGAATCGGGGCCGACGTGGGCCCGGGCGATATTTTGGTGGGCAAGGTTACGCCCAAGGGTGAAACTGAAATGACCGCCGAAGAGCGCCTGTTGCGGGCCATATTCGGCGAGAAATCCAAGGACGTGCGGGATACTTCGCTTCGTGTGCCCCACGGGCAGCGAGGCAAGGTTATCAGCGTGAAAGCGCTGAGCCGCGAAAACAAGGACGACCTGCCCCCGGACGTGAATGAGGCAATCCGGGTGTGGGTGGCGCAGACACGCAAGATCTCGGTTGGCGACAAGATGGCAGGACGCCACGGCAACAAGGGCGTGGTGTCGCGGGTTCTGCCGGAAGAGGATATGCCGTTCCTCACCGACGGACGCCGGTTGACATCATACTGAATCCTATCGGCGTGCCGTCGCGGATGAATCTGGGCCAGGTGCTGGAAAGTCATCTGGGCTGGGCCGCGCGCAACCTGGACTTTCAGGCGTTGACGCCGGTATTCGAGGGCGCTGACGACGATAACATCGAAGACTCGCTGGCCAGGTGGTGGTTCGGCCAACAGGCCAAAGCCTCCGAACCCGGGTCGGAATACAGCGACACCATCGACATGGGAAAGGTGTACGCCTGGCTACGCAGTCAGGGGTTCGATCCCGAGCCGCTGTATGACGAAGCAAACCTGGGAAAGGCCAGAGGGGCGTGCCTGTACCTGTGGCTGCGGGACGTGGCGGGCGAAAACCCTGACGGGATGTCGCTTTCTGAAATGCACCTGTTGGCGATGGAGGTCCATCGGCAGCGATTGATAGCGCCTCCAACGTTTGCCAAATTCCAGCAATTCGACGGGCGCTCCGGCGAACCGTTTGACCAACCGGTGGCTGTGGGCAGTATCTACATGTTGAAGCTCATTCACTTGGTGGAAGACAAGATTCATGCTCGCTCCACGGGACCGTATTCGATGATTACGCAACAACCGCTGGGCGGTAAGGCGCAATCCGGCGGGCAACGGTTCGGGGAGATGGAAGTCTGGGCCCTGGAAGCATATTCGGCGGCCCACAATCTGCAGGAGGTTCTTACCATCAAATCTGACGATGTTGCCGGGCGGGTTAACACCTACGAATCCATCGTCAAGGGTCATGCGATCAGTCAGCCTGGCGTGCCGGAATCGTTCAACGTGTTGTTGAAGGAATTGCAGAGCCTGGGTTTGAACGTACAACTCGAGGAAGAAGAGGTGCAGGAAGATCCGAGTCTGGGGCTACCGGGCGAAGATGACTTCCTGTTCTCCATGGAGGCGAATTAAAACATGGTAAGAATGCTGGACAACCGCGAAGCCACTTCCCCTGAATTCAACGACTGCCATTCGCATCTCCATAGCCTCTCCCGAACAGATCCGGGCGTGGTCTTCGGGAGAAGTGCAGAAGGGTGAAACGATTAACTACCGCACCCAGCGTCCGGAGAAGGACGGCCTGTTCTGCGAAAAGATATTCGGGCCGACCAAAGACTGGGAATGCCAGTGTGGGAAATACAAGCGCCAGAAGTATAAGGGCGTGGTTTGTGACCGGTGTGGTGTTGAGGTAACGCGCTCTAACGTGCGTCGGCAACGCCTGGGTCACATCGCGCTGGCGGCGCCGGTGGCCAACATCTGGTTCGTGAAAAACACTCCCAGCGTGATGAGCCTGGCCCTGGACCTGAAACTGTCTGACCTGACACGGGTGCTGTATTACTCGGCCTACGTGATCAACCGTGTTGACATCGAGTTGATGCGCGAAAAGCTGGAACAGCATGTTTCGGAAGTGGAGCAACTGCGTAACGAACCGATCGCGGCGGCGGATGCTGCTTTGCAGCGGCTGGCGGATCGGGTTACTTCCTGGGATCTGGAACGCCGCCGGCTGGGCGCCGCGGCTGCCATGGGAGGCCAGCCGGCCACGCTGGCAACCGCCGTGGCCGCTGCCCGGCAGGTGATCAGCGAGCTTACGAATGGCGGTGAGGTGGACGTAGACGGAATCGCCTCGCATGTGGAAACGCTGCGCGGACTGGTGTCGGCGAACTCGGAGGCCCAGGCTGCCATCATGGCGGTTGGGCGGTGTTTGCTGGAGACCGGAGTGCTGGAGTCTGAGGAACGGTTGTTGGTCGCAGCTGCCGAGGGAGACCCGGTGGCGGCGGCTATTGGGCGATTGCAATACGGCGTAGCGCCTATTGGTACGGAGCTGAAGAGGCTGGACGCCAGCGTGGAAGCCGTTATTGCGGCGAACGCAGCAGTTCAAGCCGGGCAGTCGGAAGAGGAATCAGGACGATTTGGCCGACGCGATTGACCGTTTGACGGCGGACATCGCCGCCATAGACGATGAAGTCCTGCTACGCCTGCTCAACGGCCTCAAGTCCATAGCGGCCGACCAGGGCGAAGGGGCTGCCGTTGCGACAACGCAACTTCCCATGGCTCAGGACCTGTCGGAAATCAGGGAATGTGTGGGTAGTGTGGAAGGCGCGGTTCGCACCTGGAATTTGCGGCGCACCGAAGAAAACCCGGAGGGCCGGGGCTGGGGATTGCCCGCTTTCACCGCTCTACTGGAACGGCTCCAACCCGACAGTGAAGAATCGAAAGCCATTGCCAGCCTGGAAGAACGAGTGGCTCGGCTAAACGAGATAACCACGCCGGAGACGCAGGATAAAGAAGTAGATTTGTGGGGGACCCAACTGAGGTCCCTGCAGGAATTGATCGGTAACGTCGACGGGTATCTGGTACGCGCCACGACGGAACGTCGCAAGGAAGCGGCAGAAATTATTCAGGCGATGCGCTGGTTGCGTTGGGACTCGGCCCGGCGGCCGCGCACCGAGGATCTGGATTGGCTTTTGGGACGACCTCAAACTGCCCGCCGCGGCACGAACTGAAGAGTACATGCCGGACGAATTTTACATCGCCCGCAGCGGTTCGGGCGGCCTGCGACTGACCATCCTGTCCACGGGCAGGTACGACCGGCTAAAGCCGTTCTGGGATGACGCGTTCGAGGCTGACATGGGTGCAGAGCCGGTGCTGGAATCCCTGAAATTGCTGGACCGGGGCCTGGATCAGGAACGGTATTACACCGAACAGGAGATGCGGGCCACATCGTCGCAGATCCGGACCAAGGCCGGCAAACGGATGCGGTTGCTGGAAACTTTCCGCCGCAGCGAAAACCGGATGCAGGACATGATCATGACGATCCTGCCGGTGCTGCCGCCGGAGCTGCGCCCGATGGTTCAGCTGGATGGCGGACGCTTCGCGACGAGCGACCTCAACGACCTGTATCGCCGGGTTTTGTCAAGGAACCATCGGTTGAAGCGGTTTGCCAGTATGCGCGCACCGGGCCTGATGATTCGCAATGAGAAGCGGATGCTGCAGGAAGCGGTTGACTCGCTGATTGACAACGGGCGGCAGGGCAAGGCAGTTAAGGGTAAACGGGACCATGCGCTCAAATCGTTGAGCGACTTGCTGAAGGGCAAGCAAGGCCGTTTCCGGCAGAACCTGTTGGGCAAGCGCGTCGACTATTCGGGCCGCTCGGTGATCGTGGTCGGCCCGGAACTGAAGATGGACCAATGCGGCCTGCCCAAGCGCATGGCGCTGGAATTGTTCAAGCCGTTCGTGATGCACCGTTTGGTGTTGAGCGCGTTGGCGCCGAACATCAAGGCGGCCAAGCGGATGGTGGAACGATCTTCGCCGGAAGTTTGGCACATTCTGGAAGACGTTATCAAAGACCGACCGGTGATGCTGAACCGGGCGCCAACACTGCACCGCCTGGGGATCCAGGCCTTCAAGCCGGTGTTGATCGAAGGGAGCGCCATACAACTGCACCCGCTCGTTTGCTCGGCGTTCAACGCTGACTTCGACGGCGACCAGATGGCGGTTCACGTTCCATTGTCTACGATGGCGGTTAACGAGACTCGCACGGTGATGCTGAGCATCAATAACATGCTGTCGCCAGCTTCGGGCGATCCGTTGGTGGCGCCCACGCTGGACATGGTGATGGGTTGCTATTACCTTACCGAATTGCTGCCCGACGGCAAGGGCGCCGGCAATCATTTCTACGACATACATGAAGCCCGTATCGCGTATTCGGACGGCCAGATCGACCTGAGGGCGCCCATCTCGGTTATTGACGTGGCGGGAGCCGATGGGCCGGTGGACACCACCATGGGCCGGCTGATTTTCAACGAAACCATTCCTGATTCGTTGGGTTACAAGAACCAGGTAATGGACCGTGGCGCGATCAAGGACCTGACTTCAGAGTTGTACCGGAACCTTACCAACGTGGAGACGGCGCAGGCGCTGGACAAGATAAAGGAGATGGGGTTCTACTACGCGACCAAGTCGGGTATTACGATTGCCATCAACGACATTCAGGTTCCGGCCCGGAAGCATGACATTCTGGAAGCGGCAACTCAAAAGGTTTCAGATCATGAAAACAACTTCATGATGGGTATGATGACCGAGAATGAAAAATACGATCGGATCATCGAGACCTGGACCAAAGCGTCGGATGACATGCAAACGGTGGTTGAGGACGAACTGAAGTATTTCGGCGGCGTCGCCGTAATGGCGATGTCGGGAGCGAAAGGTAACATATCGCAAATTAAACAGATGGCCGGAATGCGCGGGTTGATGAGCGATCCAGAGGGTCGCATCATCGAGCGTCCGGTGAAATCGAGTTTCCGCGAAGGGCTCACCGCGCTGGAGTATTTCATCTCCACCCACGGCGCGCGGAAGGGTTTGACGGACACTGCGTTGCGTACGGCTGACAGCGGGTATTTGACTCGCCGCCTGGTGGACGTGTCGCAGGAGGTTATCGTTCAGGAGCCGGACTGCGAATACGCTGAGCCGTTCTACGTGGAGCCTCGGCCCAACGACCCGACACTCACCAGTTTTGCTGAACGCATGGTCGGTCGGATGGCGGGCGATGTGATAGCCGATCCTCGCAGCGGCGAAATAATTATCGACCGCAACGAAATGATCGACGAGGGTATCGCGGAGGTGATCAAGGACGCCGGTATCGAAAGGGTGCCGGTGCGTTCACCATTGACCTGCCAAACGCGCCGCGGAATTTGTCAAATGTGCTACGGGCGCTTGCCGGCTACCGGCAATTTGGTAGAGATTGGTCAGGCCGTGGGCGTAATCGCAGCGCAAAGCATCGGCGAGCCCGGTACGCAGCTCACCATGCGGACGTTCCACACCGGAGGCATCGCCGGGTCTGACATCACGACGGGTTTGCCCAGGGTACAGGAAACTGTTTGAAGTACGCCCGCCCAAGGGCGCCGGCGTGCTTACCCACATTGACGGCACCGTGTCGCTGGAGGAAGACGCCACCGGGGCGCGCCGCATCCGTGTGGTGTACGACGAAGAAGAACGCCACCAGTATGATTTGCCCGACGGGGCGATCCGATTGGTAGAGCGGGGCGAAGCGGTTGACGACGGCAAGCTGCTGGCAGTAGTTGTCAACGCCGACTCGCCGGCGATCCAGACCAACGGGGACGGCGCTGACGATGGAGCAAGCAGTTCCGTGGCCGGACTGGACATTCTGCGGGAGATTCGCTCGGACCATTCTGGGTGAAGCGGAGATCTCTGCAAACGGGATCACCGTGGTGTGGCGCGAAGAGGAATCGCGTTCTTATGACGTGAATCCTCAGATGACGCTCCGGGTGAACGACGGCCAACAGGTTAATGCTGGGGCCGCTTTGGTTGACGGCCCGCTGGATCTGAGGGAATTGCTGGACGTCCGCGGCCTGGAAGGGCTGCAACACTACCTGGTTGACGAAGTACAGGAGGTGTACCGTTCGCAGGGGGTGGGAATTCATGACAAGCACATTGAGGTCATCCTGCGGCAAATGTTGCGTAGGGTGCAGGTAGAAACCTCCGGCGATACCGAATTCATCCCCGGTGACGTGGTGGACAAGTTCCGGTTCGAGGATCAGAACCAGCGTGTACTGGCCGAGAGCGGGGAGCCTTCCACCGCGAGGACCCTGTTGCTGGGAGTATCCAAGGCAGCGCTGACCACCGACAGCTTCCTGTCGAAGGCATCGTTCCAGGAAACAACCAAGGTGCTGACCATGGCCGCGGTGGCGAGTGATCGCGACTGGCTCAGGGGTCTGAAAGAAAACGTGATTATCGGCAGGCTGATTCCGGCACGGCTGGATTCGCTGCTGGAGTCGGAGCGACATCTCCTCCGGCAGGAATCTCTGGAAGATTTCGATGTGGAGTTGATGGCTCCGTCCTGGCTGTCGGGGCAACCCCTTGCAATCGATGGATTGGACGCACCGGAAGGCGCGCTGGATCTGGAGATCGACAGCGAGGTAATCTCGGGCCAGCCATCGGGTCCGGTGGCCGACGGAGGGGGCCTGGGAGACTCCGGTTATCAGATTCGCACCGCCGAAGAAGAGGAAGATCTGCTTCGCCGGGCACAGTCGTTGACCGATGGAGAATTGGAGGGCGACCGGGATCTGCAGGCGACCGCCCGTATCTTCTCTCCGTTTGATGACGAGGAGGACGATATCCCAGCGCTGTAAGTTAGCGCGGATAATCAGGCTCAACATAAGGTAATCAGGAGGCCGCCGTTGGTTGTTACCGTCGATCTGTCAGTAGATCTGGCGCCCGAACGCCCCGGCGGCCTTCGGCTGTCCAATCCGATCATGATTGCTTCGGGCACGTTCGGATACGATGGCTATGGCCGGGGGATCGCGGCGAACGCCCCCGCTGGGTTTATTGGGGGCGGTGGTGCCAAAGACCTTTACGCGAAATGCCAGGACCGGCAACCCCGAACCGCGGTGGTTCCCCGAGTCATTTCGGGAGGGCCTGGAGGCAGGAACTACGCTGCTGAACTCAATCGGGCTGACCAACCCGGGGATAGAGGCTGCAATGAGCGAACTGGCGCCGCAATGGGCGAACCTGGACGCCAACATGGTAATGAGCATGGCAGCCGAAAGTCCGGAGCAGTGGGAGGAAATGGCATCGTTCACGCGAGGGGTTTCCGGGTTTGCGGCCATCGAGCTGAATCTGAGCTGTCCCAACGTGGACGACGGGGCGATGTTCAGTCACCGACCGCATCTTACGGAGGCGGCGGTGGCGGGTGTCCGTCGGCAAACCGACCTGCCGTTGTGGGCCAAGCTTTCCCCCAACGTGCCGGATATCACCGAAATCGCCCAGGCGGCGGTGGATGCTGGCGCGGACGCTCTGACGATCTGCAATACCATCCCGGCGATGCACATTGACACTGACCTGGGGAGGGCGGTGCTGGGTACTGGGAGCGGCGGATTGTCGGGACACGCCCTGCGTCCCATTGCGGTGGCGCTGGTGCACCGAACGGCCCGCGCGGTCAAGGTTCCGATCATCGGAGTGGGCGGAGTGTTCACGGGCCGCCACGCCGCTGAGTTCTTGCTGGCGGGAGCTACGGCGGTTCAGATCGGCAGCGCGAACCTGGCCGATCTCGACGCTCCCTTCCGTGTGCTCGCCGAGCTGGAAGCATTAATGGCGGAGTGGGAAGTCGGCAATATTGCGGAGTTGGCCCTCAGATATCGAGAGTAGTTGAGCACCGTCATTCGGCGGTGTGTGGCTGGCGGTTACCAGGCGGTACGCAACAAATCTCGCAGTTCCGTTGCGTCGTTGATTGGCCGCACGTTGCGATGCAGGCCGAAGTCGGTGAGGGCATCCCGGGCGATGTCCTCGATCCCTTCCTCCGGCACGCCAACATCACGCAGCCGCAGGGGCATACCCACCGTCTCGAAGAACCCGGACACCGCGTCGGCAGCGGCATCGGCGGCTTCCCGATCGGTCGTGCCGGACTTGACCAGACCCATTGCGGCAGCGACGCGCGCCTGACCTTTGAGGTTGTAATCTCGATTGAATCTCATACCGGGAGCCGTGTTGATGGAATATGCCGCCCCGTGGCTGCATTCGGGGAAGCGCGTGTCGAGGCTGTGGGCCAGAGCGCTCACGACGCCCAGTGCGGATCCGCTGGCTCCGGCATCCCAGGCCCGGTTGTACATGAACGAGGCAACGCACAGGTTGACCCGGGCGGCGCCGTCATCTGGGTGGTTGCTGACCGCGGGCAAATGTTCCAGCAAAAGGTTGAGCGATCCGACGAGGTCGGCGTTTGCCATCACGTTCAAGGTCGGAGATTGCAGGGCGCTGATTACGCCGCTGAACAGCGACCCGGCAGCGCTGATGCAGAGATCAACCGGCGCTGTGAGCAGGGCGTCGGTATCCCATATAACGGCGCTGGGACGGGTTTTGGGGTCGAACATCTCCAGTCGATGACCCGTTTCGCCATCGATGACGGCGGTGCCGGCCCGGGTGGCCGCCGTGGTGGGTGTGGTCAGCACAAGGATGTTGGGTAATTTCGGCGCCATCAAGCGCGGGCTGACCGGGGGTTGTCCCGGCGGATATTTGGTAGCGTGGTCTTCGAGAGCGCCACCTTCTGCCAGCAGGATGATAATTGCGCGGGCGGTAACCACGGCGCTGCCGCCACCGACGGCGATGATGAGGTCGGCATCGGTTTCCCGGGCGGCCTGGGCGCCAGCCAGAACGTCTGACACCGGTGATCCGGTTCGTACGCCGTCGAAGACGACGGCTGGTTGCGGGCCCAGTGCGTCTGCGATGCGCTGAAGGAGATTGGTGCGTTGCGAACGGATCGGCCGCAAACGATGAACGGCCTTTTTGCTCTGACACGGTCAACCTCAGCGCGGAGACTGGACAACGCGTTGTCCCCGGCGTGTACGCGCACCGGGTATGCTACGTAGCGAAACGGGTTGACCTCAGGCATGCTTGAAACCTCAACAATGTACGGCGTCACTGGCGGTGAATCAGTGTACTACCGGGGAGTTTGTGGCGCCAGTTCCGAAGGCGGGCGAATGAGCTGCGGCGTCCGACCAACCACGATCTGAGATGGCAAGCGGGTTCCGTGTGCTAAAATCGCTAACGACATGGAATTGAACAGTCCGGATGGATAGATTGACCGCTGAGCGCCAAATAACCCGGCATCGCAGCCGGGCCCTGCGTCTGCTGAGTTCTGCCCAAAATGCCATGCAGAAAGGGCAGTGGGGCCAGTCAGAGGAGTTGCTGTGGGGAAGCCTGCTGTCGGCGTGCCGCGGTGTGGCGACAGCCCGCGGAGAGGGCACTGAAGACGAGGCGGCGCTGCGAAGGTTCACGCGCGCCCTGGGCGAAGAGGAAAAGGATCGTTACATCCGCGATGCGTTTGATCATCTGGCGGCCTTTGCCGAAGCCGCGGAGCGTGTCCGGGAGCGCAGGAGTCGCGTGGACTACCTGTTCCTGGCGATGGATGACCTGAGTGAAGCCATCGAGCGGCTGGTGGCGCGGATTCCAGGAGCGGATTCGCCCGTGCCAGCGTCTGACGCGGATGATGAGGTAGCAGATCTTGGGGACTGATCACGTGGTTGCGAACGATTTGAACGTCAGTTCCGGCGTGCCAGTGTGGATTGCCACGACACCGGATCAGTTGCCGCCTCTCGTGGGCACGGTGGCTATCGAGACGCATGGCTGCAAGCTCAACCAGGCTGACAGCGCACAGTTGGCCCGGGAGTTTGCCAACCGAGGGTACACTACGGTTGATTCCGTAGCGGATGCCGACATTGTGGTAGTCAACACATGCACCGTTACCGCCACCGCTGACAGCAAGGCGCGTCAGGCGCTGCGGGCGGCGCGACGCCACAACCCGGACGCAGTCGTCGTAGCGGCCGGGTGCTATCCGGAGCGGGCGGCCGAGGCGCTCCGGGCGATGCCCGAGGTCTCGTTGGTGGTGGGCAATCGGGATAAGCCCGAGTTGGTTTCACTGGCGGTATCAGCGGCAGCGCAACGCGGTCACACCGTAGAGCGGTTCTGGCCTGACGGTATCAATGCCGGCGGCACCGGCATACTGGCGCGTAATCGGGCCATGATCAAGATTCAGGAGGGATGCGACCAGGTCTGCGCTTACTGCATCGTTCCCAAAGTGAGGGGACGAGAACGCAGCATCTCACCGGATACGCTGGTGGAAGCGGTGCGGCGCAACGTGGCCGCCGGAATGAAAGAGGTGGTGCTCACAGGAACGCAGCTGGGCACCTACGGTTTTGACCTGGACGGTGTGAACCTGCCGGGTCTGCTGGATCGCATTCTGGATGAGACGGACGTGGCCAGGTTGCGGGTGTCGTCGCTGCAGGCTCACGAGATTAGCCTGGAGCTGCTTTCCAGGTGGGATAACGCACGTCTTTGTCCACATTTTCACGTACCGTTGCAGAGTGGATCGGACCGGGTACTCAAGGCCATGCGGCGGCGATACGATACTGAAAGATTCCGGAGGGCAGTGGAGTTGGTTCGAGAGACGGCGCCAGATGCGGGCATCACCACTGACGTTATCGTTGGGTTCCCCGGCGAGGATGCAGACGAACACGTGAAGAGCCTGGAGTTCGCCGAAGCGATGCAGTTCGCCGATATGCACGTTTTTCCGTATTCCCGACGGCCGGGCACCAGCGCGAACCATTTTGCCGCGCAGGTCGGCGCCGAAGAAAAACGCCGCCGCGCCGGTGAAATGGCCGCCGTCGCCGTCAGGACTCACGGCGCGTATCGGCGGGGACTGGTGGGAGAGGTTCGAAATGTGCTTTGGGAAACGGCCCGCGCTCAGGACGATGGGCAACGGGTGTGGCGAGGCCTGACGGATAACTACGTGCGAGTGAATGTCGCCACGGGGCAGGACCTGACCAACCGGATTATGCCGGCGCGATTGATCGCGGTGAGCGGGAAGGCCATGATCGCCGAATTGGAAGGTTGATAAGGCGAACGTTGCCGTCGGCCTAGAATTCCACGGGACGCAGGTAGCTCATATCCTGGCGCCGCTCGAGATAACCGGCGCGGGTTTCATGGCCGTGGGCGAACACCAGCAGCCAGCCCTGCTGTTCGGCTTCGGCGAGGATATCCCGTTTCTGGTCGAGGCTGGTTTCCGGCTCGTAATCGAACGATGAGATGACGGTGAGCCCCAAATGGTGGGGAGTCGGCACCAGGTCTCCCAGGTAGACGATGCGTTCGCCGCCGTGGCTGTAAACCGCGATTTGATGTCCTGGACTGTGGCCATCGGTGACGATGAGATTAAGGCCCGGGAACAGCTCGGTATCGCCGTCGAGCAGCTCCATGCGTCCGCGTTCGGCGATTGGCTCGAAGTCGTCGACGCGGAAAACGTCCGCGTGGCGAGCTGATGGGTCCTGGGCGTCTTCCCAACTGGCGCGTTGAACGTAGTAAGTTGCGTTGGGGAAGGACGGCACCATGTCGCCGACGCGGTCCATGCGGGTGGCGCCGCCGGCATGGCTGAAATGCAGGTGAGAAAGGACGACGGCGTCGACGTCCCTGGGTCCGATGCCGATCACCTTAAGACCACGCAGGAGCCTACTGGGGACCAAGCCGTAGATTTCCCTATCGCGGAAATTGTCTTTAGGTCCGACGCCGGTGTCGATAAGGATATTGCGTCCATTGCATTGAAACAGCATGCAATTCAGGCCCATCGTGACGCGATTCTTGCGGTCGGTAGTGACCATGTTTTCCCACATCATTTTGGGGACGCGCCCGAAGATAGCTCCTCCGTCGACTTTGAACACGCCGTCGCTGATTACCTTTGCACCGTTGGCTTGCATCGCTGGTTACTCCTCAATAATTTGTTGGAATCCGATATCGGGTTCCTAGAAGCCACAACCGCTAAATTGATATTATTTGATCGTTGATTTGGGCGGTTAATCGTGGCGATAGACGTCCCGTCCGGAAGCTCATCCTGATTTTGTAAAGAGTAAATTTATTGGCACGGAATACGACGCTACCCACTGTACATCGACCCTATGGTTTTTGGTCAATACAAAAAAGATACCAAATAACCCGTTTTTCATAAATTTTCATAACATTTACATACCGGGCTCTATTTCCTAATTCGACACGGGGTTGTTGGGGGTACGATTATCAATTTCTGCACGCAACCAACTGAACCTGAGCCCGGTTATACCCCGGAACCGACAAGTACCGGGATCCATTGACCGAGTCCGAATCCTGAATGTTCCGTTTCCCGGTCTCCCGCGGGCTCCGACAGGCAGGTTCAAGCAATGAATGAGGCCGATAAGCCCCGTCCATCCGACCGCGACCGCCATTCAGCCAGGCGGCGGGTATACCGCGCCCTTGAACCGGCGGGCTCGGCGCCATCGGCTGGAAACGCGAGCTGGATCAATACCGTGTACACGGTCGAGGCAGTTCTCGTTACGGTCATCCTGATCAATTCTGCCTCGCTGATTCTCTGGACGGTCCCGACGTTAGAAAGGTCTTACTCCCTGTGGTTCCACGTCGTGGAGTACTGCACCGTGGCGGTGTTCCTGTTGGAGTACGCGCTGAGGTTTTGGGCGGCGCCCGAAGCGAATCCGGAGGGCAGGGACTGGCGGCAGCGCTGGAAGTACGTAGTCTCTCCCGCCGCGCTCATTGACGCAGCGGCCCTGTATCCTTCTGCGGCGGCGGCCATAACCTTGTTGGTATCCGGTGATGGGCCCAACCTGTCTTTCCTGCTGGCGGTTCGTCTGATCACCCGGTCGGCCAAACTGGCCAGGTATTTCTCCGGGGGTCGCAGACTGGGAGCGGCGGTGCGGTTGAAAAGCAGCCAGCTACTGACCGCCATCGCGGCCCTGCTGTTAATATTGGTGATTGCCGCGTCGTTGATGTTCTTCGCGGAATCGGAGGCGCAACCCGACAAGTTTACGAGCATTCCGGCGGCGATGTGGTGGAGCGTGGTTACTCTAACTACCGTGGGTTACGGGGATACCGTGCCGGTTACAATAACAGGGCGGCTGCTGGCGGCGGTGATAGCGGTTATGGGTATCGGTTTGTTCGCGCTGCCGGCAGGGATACTCAGCGCGGGTCTGCTGGAGGCCGATGCGGATGAGGGGGTGCACGGCAGCCGCTTTGGTCGGCGAAACGCCGGGGACTACTGCCCCCACTGCGGCCAGCAGATTGCTCCGGCGGACGCCGACGGACAGCCAGGCGGGTCGTAGCTACTGGGTCACGTCGGTAAGCAGTTTTCCGGCGGCAATCGACAACCGGTGCAAGACGCGCTCCTTACCCACTACCTCCATCATGTCGAAGAGGGGAGGCGTAGCGGCTCGGCCCGACATTGCAACGCGAAGCGCGCCGAAGAACTGCCGCCCGTTCAGACCCAGGTCGTCCCCCGTGGACCTGAGCAGAGATTCCAGGTGGTCAGCCTGGAAGTCGTTGGGATCGACCGAGACGAGGTCGGACGCAGCCCTTTCCAGGGCGGCGAGGGTGCTGGCCGAATCCATGTTGCGCTGGATGAGCATTTCACCTTCGTAGGGAGGGTCATCCTCAAAGAAGTAGGACACCATCTCAGGCGCTTCGGCCAGGGTTTTGAGCCTTTCTTGTACAAGAGGAACGATCAGCTGCAGATATGCTTCGTCGACGGGCAACAGGTGAGCCGGGAAGTTCTGTTGCAGGAACGGTAGAATCCAGCCGGCGAGCGTAGAGGGTTCGGCCTGGCGGATATACACGCCGTTCATCCACTGGAGTTTGTCGAGATCGAAGATTGCCGCGGGTTTGCCCACTCTTTCGAGGGTGAAATGGCTGCGGATGGTGTCCAGCGACATAACGTCGGTTTCGCCGTCCAGAGACCAGCCCAGCAGGACCATGAAATTGATAAGAGCTTCGGGTAAGTAGCCATCGTCGCGGTATTCCATCACGGAGGTTGCGCCGTGTCGCTTGGACAGCTTGGCGCGGTCGGAGCCCAGAATCATGGGCAGGTGCCCGAAACGGGGCATTGGCAGGTTCAGGGCTCGGTAGAGTTGGACGTGGCGGGGAGTACTGGGGAGCCATTCTTCGGCACGCAGCACGTGACTGATCTGCATGGCGTGGTCGTCGACCACCACGGCCATGTGGTAGGTGGGGAACCCGTCGGATTTCACCAGCACGAAGTCATCGGTCAGTTCGTTCTGCCATTCAACGTGGCCGCGAATGGCGTCGTCCACCGAGGTTACGCCGGACTGGGGCATGGCAAAACGCAGCACCCACGATGCGCCGTCCGCCTCGCAGGCCCTTCGCTCCGAGTCGGGAAGATGCCGGCAGTGGCTGTCGTAGCCCTGTCGCACTTTGTTGCGGGCCTGCTCTTTTCGCAATTCGGCAACGCGTTCCGGCGAGCAATAGCAGCGGTAGGCGTCGCCGGATGCGATCAACTGCTCAGCGGCCGCGTTGTACCGTTCCAGGCGTTCGGACTGGAAGTAGGGGCCGAAATCGCCGCCGACCCGGGGGCCTTCGTCCCAGTCAATGCCCAGCCATTCCAGGCCGTTCAGGATGTTATCAACCGCGCCTTCCGTGATGCGACTCTGGTCGGTGTCTTCGACCCTGACGACGAAGTTTCCCCCGTTGTTGCGAGCGAAAAGCCAGTTGAACATGGCGGTGCGAATGTTTCCGATATGCGGGTCGCCGGTGGGGCTGGGAGCATAGCGGACGCGAACGGTATCGGACACGTTAGTCCCTCCTGGGCCGAGACTGGAATGGCAAGGCGAGGTGCAGCATCGCCTGGTTACTCACTGGTGGCCTGTCGGTTGATGCGGGCCCAACTGTCGCGCAGGGTTACGGTGCGGTTGAACACCGGGGCTCCGGGTTTGGAATCTCGAATGTCGGCACAAAAGTAACCCAGACGTTCGAATTGGTAGCGGTCGCCGGGGCTGGCGTCGGCCAATGCGGGTTCGGCCCAGGCGTTTACGATCCGCAGTGAATCAGGGCTGATCAAGTCGGTGAAGTCCTGGCCGGCGTCATCAGCGGCGCTGGCGGGCGACGGGTCGGTGAACAGATTGTCGTACACGCGCACTTCCAGCGGCGCGGCGTGGGCCGCGGAGACCCAATGAATGGTTCCCTGGACACGCCTCCCGTCGGGCGCATTGCCGCCGCGGCTGTTGGGATCGTAGGTGCAGTGAACTTCGGTGACGTTGCCGTCAGCGTCCTTGATCACGTCGGTACACGTGATCAGGCAGGCGTACCGCAGGCGAACTTCGCGACCCGGAGCCAGGCGGTAGAAACGCCGAGGGGGATCTTCCATGAAGTCGTCCCGTTCGATATAAATCTCCCGACTAAACGGAACCTGGCGCACTCCCATGGAGTCGTCTTCCGGATTGTTTATCGCTTCGAACAGCTCGGACTGGTCTTCCGGGTAGTTGGTGATAACCAGTTTCAGGGGGTTGAGCACGGCCATACGGCGGGGCGCGCGGAGATTCAGGTCTTCTCGCAGGCAGTATTCCAGCAGGGCGAGTTCGGTGACGGTATTGCGGCGAGCAATGCCGACGCGCTCGCACATGTCGCGGATGGATTCGGGGGTGTAACCGCGGCGGCGCAGGGCGCTGATGGTGGGCATACGGGGGTCGTCCCAGCCGGCGACGTGCTCATCTTCCACCAGGCGGCGCAGCATCCGTTTGCTCATCACAGTGTGGGAGAGGTTCAGGCGGGCGAACTCGATTTGACGGCTGCGGTAGATGCCCAGCACTTCCTGGCACCAGTCGTACAGGGGCCGATGGTCTTCAAACTCCAGGGTGCAAAGGGAGTGGGTAATGCCCTCGATGGAATCGGAGAGGGAGTGGGCGTAGTCGTACATGGGGTAGATGCACCAATCGTTGCCGGTGCGATGGTGCTCAGCGTGGCGGATGCGGTAGAGGACAGGGTCGCGCATGTTGACGTTGGGCGAGGCCATGTCGATGCGGGCGCGGAGGACGTGAGCGCCGTCGGGGAACTCGCCGGCCCGCATACGGCGAAACAGATCGAGGTTTTCTTCCGTTGGACGGGTCCGATGGGGACTCTCCCGGCCGGGGTCGGTCAGGGTGCCGCGGTAGTGGCGAATCTCCTCGGCAGAGAGGCTGTCAATGTAGGCGTTGCCGTCCAGGATGAGTTGCTCGGCGTATTGGTACAACTGCTCAAAATAGTCGGAGGCGTAGTAGACGTGCTGGCCCCAGTCGAAACCGAGCCAGCGGATGTCGGCCAAAATGGAATCGACGTACTCGATATCCTCGCGTGTGGGGTTGGTGTCGTCGAAGCGCATGTTGCACCGGGCGCCCGGGAACTGCTCGCCGACTCCGAAATTCAGACAGATGGACTTGGCGTGGCCGATGTGCAAATAGCCGTTGGGTTCGGGGGGAAAGCGGGTGACGACGCGGCCATCGTAGGCGCCGGCGGCCTGATCGTCGGTGATGATGCTGCGGATGAAGTCGGTGGGTTCATTCCCCCCGGGATTTTCGGTTTGATCAGTCATGGTTCCAGTGCTCTTTGACAGGATATTTGGCGACAGGACGTGGCATCCTCATGAATTATATATTGTGTCGGGCCAAATAGCGCCGTTCAGGGCGATGAAGCCGGGGAGTTTCGTAACTCACGCAGGACCCGCGCCAGCTTGGGCGGCAACGGGCTCTCATGATCTGACCACTCGCCGGTTATCGGGTGGTGGAAACCGAGACGAGCAGCGTGGAGGAACTGGCGGTCGAGGATCTGGCTGGCGCGCCCGTAGACCTGGTCGCCAAGGACGGGAAAACCGATGTGGGCCAGGTGAACGCGATCTGGTGCGTGCGGCCAGTTTCCAATGATACGGTCAACAAGGTGTAACCGTTGAGGTTTTCGGCGGTGCGGTATTGGGTTCGAGCGGCGCGTCCGTCTTCGACGACGGCCATGCGCTGGCGATGGTAAGGATGTCGGGCGATGGGGGCGTCAATGGTTCCGGTGTCCGGCGTAACCATGCCCACGGCGACGGCCTGGTACTCCTTGATGATAGTGCGTAGTTGCATTTGCTCGGTGAGCCGCTGGTGGGCCAACTGGCTCTTGGCGACGACCAGCAGGCCGGAGGTGTCACGGTCCAGGCGGTGGACGATGCCCGGACGCAATTCGCCTCCCACGCCGCGGATGTCGGGGCAGCGGGCCAGCAGAGCGTTGACCAGGGTGCCGTCGGGATGGCCGGGGCCGGGATGCACCGACAGGCCAGCCGGCTTGTCGACGACGACGATGTCATCGTCCTGGTAAACGATGCCGATAGGTATGTCCTGGGGAAGCAGGTCGGTGGGCAATCGGGCGGGAGGCACGGTTACGACGATGATATCGCCGGTGTGGAGGCGTTGTGCCGGTCGGGTCGATTGTCCGTTCACGGTAATGCAGCCTTCGACGGTGAGGGCGTGGAGACGACTGCGTGACAGACCCTGGCTGGCGAGTTCAGTGATGCCGGCCAGGTAGGCATCCAGGCGGTTGGGATTGGGATCAACCACCACGTATTCGTAACGCTGGATTTCGGCGGCGGAAGTCATGGGTGAGGGTGTCCGATGGTCATGATGCGTTCGCGGACGCCACAATCGGCGCAGCGTGCGCCGTTGGACAGCTCAATCATGGGGCCGTCACACAGAGGACAGGACCCCTCCATGCCGGGAGCTTCGGACCGGTGAGTCACGTCGACCTGAACCGGAGCGTCTCGCCGGGTGAGCAGTAACCATGCCATCAAGAACAGGCCGGTGACGATAGCAGAGTCGGCCAGATTGAACACCGGCCACGGCCCGATGTCGATGAAGTCGGTGACGTGACCGAATAGAACCCGGTCCAGGAGGTTGCCGAAGGCGCCACCCATCATGAGGGCGATGCTGAGACGTATGAGGCGACCGGGTTGATTCTGGCTGCCGTAGACGAACCCGAGCACTACGATGCCGATGATCGAAACGAACAGCAGGATGAGGTTTTGATCCTGAAACAGACCGAAGGCGCTGCCCGTGTTATGGACATGAGTAAAACGAAAGAACCCGTAAAAGGGCCAGGACTGATAGGTTGCCAGAGATTGACGGACGACGAACTTGGTCAGCTGGTCTAAAGTCAGCACCAACGCCGCCAGTTGCAGCAGGTTCCAGTCCTGATACACCGGCCGGCGGCGGATTGCGACCTTGAACATGGAGTTGGTTGCTAGAGCAAATTATCGCGGAAGAACTGCACCACGCACTCGGCCATCTGACCCTCCTGCCCAACCCAGAAGTGGTCTGCGCCGGGCACCACGTGGTAGTCGGTGGGTGGGTCGAATCTAGCCAGTTGCTCATCGACACCGTCGGCGTTGACGAGGCGGTCGCGGTCGCCGGTGATGATCATCTTTGGGGTTATCTCGGTTTGCAACGGGCTGTCGGTGATGGCTTCGATAGAGGGAGCAACCAGAGCGATGGCTCGGGGCTTCTTGTAGAGTTGCTGGTGGGCGCAAATTACCCGGGTGCTGAACGAGTAGCCGCCAAGTCCGATGCGATCGTCGTCGACGTCAGGCAACGCACCGAGGAAGTCCATGGCCACGAGAGTTTCCTCGTGCTCCTTTTCGCCCTTGGCGTGTTCGCCCTGGCTGTTGCCTACGCCGCGGAAATTGAACCGCAGGGAGGCAATGCCGGCATCGGCCAGGCCGAAAGTGACGGCCACCACCACGTTGTTATCCATGTTGCCACCGTGGAGCGGGTGGGGATGGCACATGACGACGCCGGGGAACGGGCCATCGCCATCCGGCAGGGCAATAATACCCTCGAGATTCATACCCTTGGCGGTGAAGCTGACTGCACTTTGTCGCATATTGGTTCCCTCCACACGGGTTAGACGCTTTCGGACGTGCGTGAACTACTATATCAGGTTTGAATTTGAAGGGTGTGTGCGGCAGCCCGGGAATCGTGGCGGGATACTGACTGGGGTTTGGATCGTTGGGATTGCGGATCATTGGGATTGCGGATCGTTGGGATTGATGATGGGTGATGCAGGCAAGGCGTTGGGCGCGCTGCTGGTGATTGCGTTGCTGTTGGGGGCGTTGGCCTGTGAACGACCGGGTTCGGTACAGGGCACGGTCGTGCGAGAAGAAACGGTGTTCCACACTATGGAATTTCCAATCGTGATTACCGACCCAGGACTGTTACCCCATCCCGATGGACTGCGGGGCTGCCAGAGCCTGAACCTTCTGAGCGCCACCACGGATGAAATAGGTTATAACGACTGGTGCGAGAAGACGCTTACAAACGTCGTGCTGAACGAGTGCAGTGGGATGGAAACCACCGAAGATGCACTGTCCTGCGCTCAATTGGCGCTATCCGACGTGCAGGAGATATCGTTGCGACACGCGATAGTACCGTGCACGGCCATCAGAGATCAACGGGATTCTGGCAAGTGCGCGCGTCGAGTCCATCAAAGAGCATGAGAACAAAAACCTGGCCCTTCGACTGGTGTGGAAGGACGCACTCGATGCCGTATCTGCAAATCCGGCGGTGGCCAGCGGTAAATCGGCGTTTTCGGACTGTATGGTCGAGCGGGGACATCAGCCGTTGACTGATGAATGGGAGTTGCCCTGGCAACGCAATGAGAGTGCGCAAGACCAGATGGAAAGATATAGGGCTGCGCCGGAAGAACTGCGAGACCTCCGCACCTGGGCGCCGGTTGTTGCGAACGAATGCGGGTATGAATCAGGGTTGTACGAGGCGCAGGATGCAGCCTGGCTTGCTGAACTGCGCCGGCTGGAGGCGGAAGAGCCGGACAAATTCAGACCATTCGTCGAGCGTGGAGTCGTGAGCATCCTTGTAGAACCGGGAGTGGCAGTATCCCTGACGCTGCGGCGATGATTGGCGGTTGCCATCCCGATGATCCTTCGACGGGCTCAGGATGAGTGGAGACAGGTTCAGGATGAGTGGAGGCAGGTTCAGGATGAGTGGAGGCAGGTTCAGGATGAGTGGTAAATCTGTTTCGGTGCACATTGGAAAGACTTGGAGTGTCTGGACGGGGCGGTAGAGCCCGTGCGTGGTTAGTGCTAGAATGGCGTGAAATGTCGCGGCGAAGCGGCTGATACTGTCTCGGAGGAATGATGGCACTGATTGACCTGCGGAGTGATACCGTTACCCACCCCACCGATGAGATGCGCCGTGCAATGGCCGCCGCCGAGGTTGGCGATGATGTGTTTGGCGAAGACCCGACCATTAATGCCCTGCAGGAGCGCGCTGCCGGCCTGATGGGTCAGGAGGCGGGTTTGCTGACGGCAAGCGGGACGATGAGCAATCTGATCGCAGCGCTGGCATGGTGCAGCCGTGGCGACGAGATGATCATGGGGCAGGAAGCCCACATGTTCTGGAATGAATCGGCGGGTCCGACCGCGCTGGCGGGAGCGCAAATCCGGCTGGTGCCCAACGACGTCAACGGTCGTATTTCGGCGCAGGACGTGGCCGCTGCCGTCCGGGACAGTTCCAACATTCACGTGCCGGCGACCACGCTGGTCTGCCTGGAAAATACCCACAACCGCTGCAGCGGCGGGGTGATGACGCCCCAAGATACCAGGGAGGTGGTGGACGTTGCCCACGCCGCCGGCGCTGCGGTGCATCTGGACGGGGCGCGAATATTCAACGCGGCGGTGGCGCTGGAGGTGCCGGCCTCGGAGCTGACCAAAGACGTTGACGACGTGAGTTTCTGCTTGTCCAAGGCCCTTTCCTGTCCGGTGGGCTCGGTGCTGTGCGGCTCTGAGGAGTTTATCGGCAAGGCCCGCAAATGGCGGAAGATGGTTGGCGGCGGAATGCGTCAGGCCGGGGTGTTGGCCGCGGCGGGTTTGGTAGCGCTGGATTCGATGGTCGAACGGCTGGCCGACGATCATGCCAACGCCCGCCGGCTGGCGGCTGGCCTGGCGAACATTGATGGGCTGACCGTAGATGAAGATGGCATCCAGACCAACATCGTGATATTTGAGGTCGACCGGGAGAAGGTGGGCGATGCCAGGGAGGTTATCGCTGCGCTGCGTGAAGACGGCGTATTGGTGAGTCACAGCCGCGACCAGGCCTTGCGCATGGTCACCCACCGTCACATCACGGCGGGCGATGTTGACGAGGCGCTTTCCCGCGTCAATGGCACCGTGCGGCGGATGGCCGGAGCCGCATAGGCTTGGCGTCGGCGGAGCCGGTTCCGAGTAAGTCTGGATCATTATGACAGGGGCGCACGATGGCTGATTTCAATATAGACCGCAGTACGACGGCGTTGCTGATCGCCGACTTTTATGCTGAGGCGATGGGTACGCTGCCCCATGCCGTCGAGCGCGGTGTGGTGCAAAAGACGGTGGAGTTGCAGGCGGCCGCCCGGGAAGCCGGGATGATGGTGTGTTATTGCGCCACGGTTTTTCGGCCCGGCTATCCCGAAATCAGCGAACGGAATAAAACCTTTAGCGCCCGAAAAACTTCGGGACAACCGGCGGTATTCGATCCGGTGGCGGTGATTCATCCGGACGTGCGTCCCCGCGACGGAGAAGTGGTGGTGGGCAAGCACCGAGTCAACGCGTTGTTCGGCACCGGACTGGATGTGGCGCTGACGGGAAACAATATCAACACGATAATACTGTTGGGATATGCAACCAGCGGTGTGGTGCTTTCGACCACCCGGTACGCCTCGGACCGGGATTACCGGCTGTTCATAGTTGCCGATTGTTGCGCCGATAGCGAGCCTGATGTACACGATTTTCTGATCGGCCGCATTTTGAACCGGCAGGCCGATATAGTTACCGCCAGCGAAGCGGTTTCTGCAATACGTTCCGGCTGAACCCGCTGAATTGCCGCTGCCTGAAGCGGTGGGAGGCGTTGCCCCATGTTCCGGCGTTACGATTCGTCAGTGGCTGATCTAACGGTCGAAGTGGCCGGTCAACCATTGTATCCGGGGGACCTGCTTGATGCTGAGGTGGTGGTAACGCCGCGGCGGTCTTTTGTGGCGACGTTGGGATTGGCCAAGCTGTCGCAAAAAGAATTGCTGCGCATCGACTCGGCCCGTGAAGCGATACCCTCGGGACCGCTGGGCCGCCGCCGGCGAGACCGTGGTCAACAAGGCCCGTTTTCGGTCGACGTCGGTTTCGTTAAAGACGCTGAAATGGAAGCCGGAGTTACGTATCGGTACCCGGTGCAGTTGCGACTGCCGTTGCAGGCGCCGCCGACGGTGAAAGGGAAGCACGCGCATATTACGTGGGAACTATCCGCGTACGTGGAAGCAAAGGCGGACTGGGCTCCCAATACCGATGGGCTGTTGGCGAATCTGACGCAGGTGAAGGTGGGGAATGACACCCGCGAGCTGGTGGTTTTCGCGCGCGCCGATTCGGCGGCGTTGGGTGGCGAGAGATTGCCGGCTACACCCGTGGCAACCCAGGATTATCGCCAGGTGCAGCTGGAAATCGAGCTGTTGACGGGACAGGTGGCCAACGGAGGCACAGTGGCCGGCACGCTGCGGGTCCGGCCCCGAGAATCGTTCGCCGGCCGTGAACTCAGGGTTGAACTGTCGCGGTGGGAGAGGTGCGGCAACCGACAATCCCGCACCGTGGAGGACTTTCAGGTGTTCCAGCGGCCAGCCCAACTTATCGCCGGGGACGAGACGACCTGGGAGTTTCGCTTGCAGGTTCCCGACCGCCTCACGCCATCGGTTCTGGCGCAGCACACCTTTGTGGGTTGGCAGGTGAAGGCATCGGTGGCAAGGCGCTTGAGGCCGGACCTGAACGTAGCGCAGTTGATCCAGGTGATTACGTCGCCGTAGAGGCGCCCGTTTTTCGCTCATCAGCGGCCTGAAGACTCAAACAGCGACCGTCAATCACTGTCGAGACCAACGGCATCACCAGGGTCAGGAACTTCCCCACCAACGGCGCAACCGTTCCGCGATGGCGGCTTCCGACCCCTGGTCGGATGGCTGGTAGTAACTTTGCCCGACCAGATTGGCCGGCAGGTATTCCTGGGGATCGAAGTGGCCTTCGTAGTCATGGCTGTATTTGTATCCGGCGCCGTATCCCATTCCCCGCATCAAATCGGTCACCGCGTTGCGCAGATGTAGCGGCACGGGTTCGTGCGGCTCGTTGCGCACTGCTTCCAGTGCCCGCTCCAGTCCCATGTAAGCCGCGTTGCTCTTGGGGGACGTGGCCAGATACACGGTGGCTTCGGCGAGGGGGATGCGACCCTCGGGAAGGCCGATGAAATGGACGGCCTGCTGAGCGGCCACCGCCACCGGAAGGGCTCCCGGGTTGGCGAGCCCGATGTCTTCGGCGGCCAGTATCACCAATCGACGTGCAATGAACAAAGGGTCTTCCCCTGCTTCCAGCATACGGGCCAGCCAGTACAGAGCGCCATCGGGCGATGATCCGCGCACCGATTTGATGAAAGCCGAGATGGTGTCGTAGTGGCTGTCTCCGGCTTTGTCGTATTGTGGCGTGCGCCGCTGGAGGGCGTCGGAGATGGTGTCTATGGTGATGGTGCGTCGGCCCTGCACGTTGGGTTCGGCGGCGAGCGCTGCCATCTCCAGGGCGTTGAGAGCGACGCGGGCATCACCGTTGGCGATGTTGACGAGATGGGTCAGAGCATCGGGATCAAGGGATGGCGAAACACCGGCGAGTCCACGGCGGTGGTCGGTCAGGGCGCGGTTGATGATGTCCGCAACCTGGTCCGCTTCCAGCGCGTACAGCGTGAAGACGCGACTGCGGGAGAGTAGCGGCGCGTTGACTTCGAACGACGGGTTTTCGGTGGTCGCGCCGATGAAAGTGATGGTTCCATCTTCCACGTAGGGCAGAATCACATCCTGTTGGGCCTTGTTGAAGCGGTGGATTTCATCCACGAAAAGGATGGTCTGCTGTTGGTACAGGGCCTGCCTTTCCCTGGCCTCTGCTATTGACCGACGCAGATCGGCGACGCCGGAGGAGACGGCGCTGATGGGTTCAAAATGGGAGCGGGTTACGGTGGCGATCAGTCGGGCAAGGGTGGTTTTTCCGGATCCCGGTGGCCCCCACAACAGGATGGACGGAATGCGGTCGGCGTCGATGGAACGACGCAACACTTTGCCTTCACCCAGGATATGCTGCTGGCCCACGAACTCGTCGAAGCTGGCGGGGCGCATCCGCTCGGCCAGGGGCGCGATACCCATAGCGTTCTGCTGACGGCCATGTTCGAACAGGGATTCGGGGTCGTGGCGGCCGGTCATCGTATCATCGTCGCTTCGGCCTGATCCGTTACCGCTAACTGGTCTGCAACGAGGTTGTTCTACCCGGCTCCGTTGCGGAAGTGAGGCATCACTTCTTCGGCAAACAGGCGCATCGAACGACCCACCGCCTCGTTGCTGAGTACACCGCCGATATTGAACCAGCACATGAACTCCTGGGCATCGTACTTGTCGTTGAAGGATTCCAGCCTTTCGATAACCTGCTGGGGCGTTCCGATTGCTCCCAGTTCGTTGTGGATGTCGTCGTAGGTTAGCTGGCTGGCGCGCGACGAGCCGCGGGAATTGTTCTGCATACTCCGGAGGGTGCCGAGGTAGTTGTTAACGGTGGGGGAGAAATTGGCCTTGGCCTCCCCGGCGGTTTCTGCGACGTGGACCGGTACGTTGACGACGACCTTTGCCGCCGACGGGTTGTGGTTGTGTTCAGCGAGGGTTTCCCGGTATATGGCGAGACCGTTGCTGACTCCCTCCACAGTGATGATCATGGGAGTAACTAGAATGTTGTGACCGAGGCTCCCCACCAGGGGGAAGGTGTCGGCGCCGTTGGATGCCACGTACACGGGCGGATGGGGCTGCTGGATGGGCCGGGGTTCAACGCGGACGCCTTCGGCATGGTAGAACTGGCCTTCATAATCCAGCTGATCTTCCGTCCAGGCGCGGAGCGTCATCTCCAATCCCTCGACGAAGCGTTCGTTGCGCTCTTCGATGGGAATACCGTAGCCGCGGTAGTGGTTGGGATTCGAACCGCGACCGATTCCGAAAATGGCCCGACCACCGGAAAGCACGTCCAGGGTAGCCACTTCTTCGGCGATCCGCAGTGGGTGATGCAGGGGCAGCAGGTTGACCGCGGTGCCCAGCATGATGCGGCTGGTGGTTTGCGATAGCGCCGATGCCATCAGGAGAGGGGCGGGCATGACCGAGAAACGCCTGGCAAAATGCAGCTCGGCCAACCAGGCCATGTCGTAGCCAAGCTCGTCGGCCAACTGCACTTGAGACATCACGTCGGCGTACCGGGCGGCGGGGGATTGATCCTCGCCACAGGGTATTTGATAGAAGACTCCGAACTGCATTTTTGATTACTCCGGAAATGGCGCCGGGGACGTTGGGGGATACTGGCCTGGCTGACCCGATGCTTACCTCGGGATATGACAGAAAGATATTAGAGAGGGATATTGCCGTGCTTTTTTGCCGGCAGGGTATCGCGTTTGTTTTGCAGCATTTCCAGGGCGCGGATGATGACGGGCCGCGATTGGGCCGGATCGATAACGTCATCAAGATAACCGCGATTGGCTGCCACGTAGGGGTTGGTGAAGCGCTGCTGGTAGTTGGTGATCAACTCGGCACGGCGATCGTCGGGTTCGTCGGCGCGCGCGATTTCCTCCCGGTAGATGATGTTGACAGCGCCGTCCGGCCCCATCACGGCGATTTCGGCGGAGGGCCAGGCCAGGTTGACGTCGGATCGCAGATGCTTGCTGCTCATCACGATGTAGGCTCCGCCGTAGGCCTTGCGTGTAATGATGGCAACCTTGGGAACGGTTGCCTCGGCGTAGGCGTAGATCAGCTTGGCGCCGTGGCGAATGATGCCGCCGTATTCCTGCTCGGTGCCTGGCATGAAACCGGGAACGTCGACCAGCGTAACCAGTGGCACGTTGAAACAGTCGCAGAACCGCACGAATCGGGACGCCTTGGCGGAGGCGTTGATGTCGAGGACACCGGCCAGGAACGCCGGCTGGTTGCCCACCAGGCCGACGGTGCGGCCGCCCATCCTGCCGAACCCGACCACGATGTTGGGGGCGTACGTGGACTGGACTTCCATGAATTCTTCGTCGTCCACGATGCTGTAGATAACCTCACGAACATCGTACGGACGGTTGGGCTCCGGCGGCACGATGGTGCGCAGGGAATCATCGGTGCGGTCGGAGTTGTCGGCAGTGCGGTAAACGGGGGGATCATCGAGATTGTTCAGCGGCAGGAAACTGACCAGCCGGCGCACTTCAGCCAGACAATCCTCTTCGGTGTCGTAGACGAAATGCGCCACACCGCTACGGGAACCGTGGGCATCGGCTCCACCCAGCTGGTCGTGGGTAACGTCCTCTCCGGTTACGGCCCGCACCACGTCGGGGCCGGTGATGTACATTTGCCCGGTGCCCCGCACCATGAAGATGAAGTCGGTGATGGCCGGAGAATAAACCGCGCCGCCTGCCGATGGCCCCATGATTATCGAGATTTGCGGAACGACGCCGGAATACATGGTGTTGCGCAGGAATATGTCGCCGTAGGCGGCGAGGCTCAGCGCGCCTTCCTGGATGCGGGCGCCTCCGGAGTCGCAGATGCCGATCATCGGGCACCCGGTTTTGGCGGCCAGGTCCATGACCTTGCAGATTTTTTGTCCGACCACCTCGGAGAGGGAACCGCCGAACACGGTAAAGTCCTGGGAGTAGGCGAATACCTGGCGCCCGTCGATGTTGCCGTATCCAGTTACCACCGCATCACCGAGGACAGTGCGGTCGGCGAGGCCGAAATCGGTGGTTCGGTGGGTGACGAAACGGTCGATTTCCTGGAAAGTGCCTTCGTCCATCAGGACAGCGAGGCGTTCGCGGGCGGTGAGTTTGCCGCGCTGGTGTTGCTGGTCGATACGGTTCTGGCCACCGCCCAATCGGGCCTGTTCACCAAGCCGGATCAGGTCGTCCAGGTTTTGATCGGTGATTTGTTCGTGATTGGTGGACAAGGCGACCTCCATGCGTAATGCTATCAAACGGCCACAGTATGGGCAACTTTGCTCTTGTGGCAAGGGCGTCAACTGGAATCAGCCATATAATGGACGCCAAGGGTTACCAGGTGAAGATCGGTGCCGGAATTTGATTGCAGCAATTCGATGGTGAGCGGACGGAAAGCGTCAGTGGAGGCGGAGCTGCCCCAGTGGGGGCTACGCACCTACGTAATGGGAATCATTAATCTGACTCCCGATTCCTTTTCAGGCGACGGGTTGGCTGACGACGTGGATTCCGCCGTTGCCCTGGCTCTGAAGATGGAAGGCGACGGCGCCGACATCATAGATATTGGCGCCGAGTCGTCGCGACCGGGCGCGTCGCCAGTATCGGCCGCCGAGGAACTGGAGCGGTTGATGCCCGGTCTGGAGGCGGTGTGTGCAGCCGTCAAAATACCGGTCAGCGTTGACACGTACAAAGCATCGGTGGCCGCCAGTGCGATTGACGCCGGGGCCTCGATCATCAACGACGTTTGGGGATTCCTGGCGGACGACGAAATGGCACGGGTAGCAGCCGATGCCGGCGTGCCGGTGGTGCTCATGCACAATCAACGGGAAGCCCGATACCGAGATCTGGTGCCGGATGTAATCGAGGGGTTGAATCGGAGCGTATCCGTAGCGACCGGGGCCGGAGTTGATGAGGGCAACATCGTTGTCGATCCGGGTATCGGCTTCGGGAAAACCGCCGACCATAACCTGGAGTTGCTGCGCCGGCTCCCCGAGATCAAGGAGATGGGCTTTCCGATGCTGTTGGGTGTGTCCCGAAAGTCCACCATCGGTCGCCTGTTGAACCTGCCGGAGGACGACCGGGTTGAGGGGACAGCTGCCGCGGTGTCGTTGAGCATTGTTGGGGGCGCCGATATCGTGCGGGTGCACGACGTGAAGCAGATGGTTAGAGTCGTACGCATGACGGACGCTGTTGTGCGGGATGCG